ACCTCGATACTCTTCATCTAATAAAACTCGTCACAGTTGATGAACGAAGCCGCTCTTCTTTGGCACGCGTAATGCTTACAGAAAGCGAAGTACTAACCGGGCCTGCACGATGGCATGGTCAGAGTCAAGCTGCGTACCTCAGAAGGGACGACAGTCCTTGACTGATAACCATATAGTCCAAGTGAGTCCATGACTATTTTGTGGTAGGTGGCCTCCAAGTAAAGCTGTTGTGTTGGAAGCTCGTACTGGCCGGGAACAGACAATGATCCGCACACACTGAATAAGAAGCCGCTCTCCGTTATCCGTACGCTCAGCGCCAACTCCAAATCTACCACCACTTAACTGTGCTTCTTCCGGACTTATCATCCACCTTGGGCATTTGTATCACCCACCAGGATTACTATATCTGTCCTTTTTTCCGACCGAAGTCGTCGTGACAGATCTTGGTGAAACTCGTTCTCAGACTCGAAACTGTAGTCTGTTGGAGCGTAGGTTGATACGACAAATAAACACCGTTTGCCGTAGTTCCGAAAGCTCAGAGCATGCTTCTTTAACTTGCCTCCATCCAACTTCCAAGCAATCTTCGTCATCCACTTGACCGTGTCTCCAGTAGCTTTCTACCCAGATCACCTCGATACTCTTCATCTACTGAAACTTGTCACAGTTGGTGAACGGAGCCGCTCTTCTTTGGCACGCGTAATGCTTACAGAAAGCGAAGTACTAACCGGGCCTGCACGATGGCATGGTCAGAATCAAGCTGCGTACCTCAGAAGGAACCACAATCCTTGACTGAGGCGCTCCATCGGTAACCGATAGCCATAATTTTGTGGTAGGTGGCCTCCAAGTAAAGCTGTTGTGTTGGAAGCTCGTACTGGCCGGGAACAGACAATGATCCGCACACACTGAATAAGAAGCCGCTCTCCGTTATCCGTACGCTCAGCGCCAACTCCAAATCTACCACCACTTAACTGTGCTTCTTCCGGACTTATCATCCACCTTGGGCATTTGTATCACCCACCAGGATTACTATATCTGTCCTTTTTTCCGACCGAAGTCGTCGTGACAGATCTTGGTGAAACTCGTTCTCAGACTCGAAACTGTAGTCTGTTGGAGCGTAGGTTGATACGACAAATAAACACTGTTTGCCGCATTGACCTGCATTGATCTTCATTGAACCAGAAAACTGCACAGCGCACGGGCGACTGTTTACTGGGATCCAGTCCAGTAAGGCGCTTTCAGCCTTGGGGCTGAGTCCAACTTCTACACCGGAGATAGGACGAGCCATGGCGTCAGGGTCACCGGATGCCCGAAGATTGAAATGTGGAACATAAGGGCTTCAGAAGCACGACCAAAGATGGGTCTTGTATGCGTGGTTCGGCGACACAACATGCATCGATAGAGGGGAAAGTAAGGTTTCAGCAAGGGATTCCTGTTGCCCTATCTGACATAGAGTACGGGCACTGAAGGCTGCAACGTGGATCAGATCTTTTGTGGTTAGTAGGTGATTATTTTGGTTTATTTTTTCTGGACGAAGGTTTAGACTTGGAACAGTGGCTAGGGGATTGTCAGCTGGGTTGATTGCACTGCGTTGTACGATGAGTTGAGAGGGAATGAGGGAGAAGGTCTGTGAGCGAAGAGCTTCAAGGGCAAATGATACTTCCCGGTTGCCCAGACCGACGAAGGGGGTTTAGTTAAGGTAGCACACCTTGAGTCTCTGACTCAAAAGTCTGACCCACGAGGCAGTGAGAGAATGTAGAGTTTTCTTTGGAGACCCTGCCCGGAGCCGACGATTCAACAGTCTGACCTGCTCGGCTGCAGGGGGTTGGCCTATCCCGAGGGCGCAGGGGTCTCATTCCTAATACGGCTGCACACAGCAAGTCCCTTTTGAGCAGCATCGGGCTCTTTGGTTTCAAAAGTGTTTCGATTGTATTGAATAATGCGCCGACTGTCACGGTCAACCGTTGGGCGATCGGAGTGTGCTATTGTTGGGCCGACAGCACCACTGCTTCCATAAATATGGACATGCTGGTCGCCTGGGGAAAACGCCTTACTCTCTCTACACTCCTGTCGTCTCGTAATACCATTTGTCGCAGTACGAGGACTGGTTGTTCCTCGCCAGGCTGCTCCCCATTGGCCTTCCTGGTATGGATGAACCTTTTGGAACTGAATTCCAGCCAATATAGCCCGCAGGATCATTGCAGCACAGAAGCTGGACCACCACCACCACAAGGTAACAGCTTTAGGTAGGGAAACCGCAACTGAGTTGACCAATCACATCAAGGAGTATTGGATGCTTGAAACCTTGTACACACAAGCATACAAGGATGGACTACTCAGCCAACTATCCTTTCGAGTGTTGCCGAAACCATCGCAAACTAGCTGTGAACAAAAGACCGATATAGTCCAAGAAACTGCAGCAGATTAGGCTAACTGAGACTGTGCCTGTGTGAGTGGGTTCGCGAAGTGGGGTCTTAGTCGAGATTGGTATCTGTACTCTTTATACATGACAGTGGCTTAGACTGCTCCTTTCTACCAGACACAATAAACCAGATCCGTTGCGGGTTTCAAAAGCGAACGCGCTTCAGTATCAGGATCTGCTTTGTGAAACAAAAAAGACACAAAAAAGCATTACTCATAGGACTGTTGAAAACAGACTGACGTCGCACTTCCTTGGTCTCATCAGTCCCTGTGTTTTCCCATGTTCTACGAAAACCTGCTTTGGACACAGTTCCAGTTCTACTACCAAACTTTTTTTAGAGCTCATCAGAATAAAACGGCAGATTCAGCTGCTATTCAGTCGAGTTTCCTGTCAATCCAAACTCGGTTTGCCAAGGGCCTTCAGGCGAAATTTAAAATTGACAGAAACTCTGCGGCTACGTCCACGTGATGAGCCCAATAACATGTGAAGCCAGTGAATAGTTTTCAGCAACCCCGTATAAGTGACACTGGCTGAAGTGTGCTCTGATCCCCTTTGACAGACAGAATACGAGAGAAAAATACGTAGTGAGGTGACCGGGATTTTGGATGCAATAAGCCTCGTGTAGACATTCAGTGAGGCAGACACACATTGTTCACACACACTGGTCTCTCATTCACTAGCCTTGTCAGAAAAGTTTTGGATTTATTGTTGGGTCCCCAACTTTTCCAAAAACCATGATAATCGGTTCCGGGCGTTCTCCGGCTGATGGAACATTCCTATATTCCTTAGTTTTGTTCTCGTAAAGAAACTGGTTCACTAGCGAAATATACTCATTTGGAAACAAATTTGGTCTTCACCTGAGACCCACCTGAATCTCAGCTGAGTCCCTCGTTTCTGGTGTTCTTCAACCGAGTGTTTTGCACCTGGCCGCATCGCGTTTCAGTCGGTGCGGTAAGCTAGTAATACAATGCACTGCACAGGCGTAACACATTACTCATAAGGTTGCTGAGAGCTGTTCTACAGCCCACGACCGGTTTCACCTTTTCTGCTTCGGACTTATAAAGGAGATGTGAACCGCGAGTTTCCTTCAACCTTATGTTCCATTTGAAACAAAACTGCACGAAATCAGTGAAATGTACTTAGTTGCACACCAACTTCGTTCTCATCGGAGACCCAACCGAAACCCAGCTGAATCTTCGAGAAATACACTAATTTGCAAATCAATTTGGTTTCCACGAGAGACTTAGCTGAATCTCTCGTTTATGATATTCTACAACTGAATGTGCTACACACAGACCGCCTCATAATTCAGTTGGCGTGTTATTCGAGATATCGCAGTATGTTTTCATACAGGAAACTACTCACACGGTTGCTGAAAACTCTTCAACAGCCCACGACCGATTTCGCCCTTCCGAGTTGGGCTCACCAGGTAGGCGCAGTCCCCGAGTTTCCATCAACTTTATGTTCTACTTGAACCCAAATTCGACTGTCTTCGACAAATACACTCATTTGTAAATCAATTTGGTTTCCACGAGAGACTCAGCTGAATCTCCAAGTTTGTTAAGAGTTTTCAGCAACCTTGTGAGTAGTTTCCAGCTGAATCTTCCTGGGTGAAACCGATTATAGGTGTGAGAGTTCTCAGCATCCTTGTGAGCAGTGTGTTACGTCTATACAAGCTTTTTAACCGTTTGGGCAAGTCGATATCCAGGATGTCGAGGTATCAATGATGCGGAAATTAGTCGGGTTTTACGTTAAGACCATTTCAGTTCTCAGCGAGCCTAGTTAGCTCTCGAGTACAAAATTAGGCTCGTTAGTGTTACAACTGGTTCTTCCCACGGATTCTTCACTGTTCTGTTAGAGTCAGTCTATGCCGAAGCGCCTAGAAGTACTGTGCAGTTGTTTAGCTCTTGTTGAGTGCCCTCATAAATCTCCCGGGAGACTCGAACCTGCGACCTTTGGTTTGTATAAAAATAAACCGCATCAAGAAGAAGTAATTGTACATCCAGAATGTTGGTGTCACCAAATTCCAAAGCATTTCTCCCGCTTTTCGTTAAAGAGCGCAAAGGATGGGAGCTGCATCTGGGTGCAAATTCAACATGATCAACTTTGATTCTACGAAGAAATTTTGCATGGATTTACGAAACGTGTGTCTTCTTGGAACAAGAGTTCTGCTGTCCACTTAAACAGAAGAAATCAACGTCAATTACGACAGAACTTTTCCGCTTTTAATTTCAATATTCTAACCACTTGGATTTCACGGGAAACCAAAACAGAGCTTGTGCTACCAGCTAACACGTGACCACGTGACACGAATTCAGCGATTTACGGATGAGTAACGCCATGTCCTGTCTAACTGCAAGTTGATCGTGCCACTAATTACCAGATTGACAAACTTCAGCTACTAGCCAGAAAATAGTGATTTCGAATCTCTCCAGAGGCTCGTAAATGCGCACCGTGAGGCGGCCTTTGTGCAACACACTCAGTTGAAGAACACCATAAACGAAGGTTTAGTTGAGTCTCCCGTAAAAATTGATTTGCAAATGAGTGTATTTGTCGAAATCAGTCCGATTCGGGTTCAACTAGAACATAAGGTTGACGAAAACTCGGGGACTTCGCCTATCTGATGAGCCCGAAGTGGAAGGACGAAACCGGTCATGGGTTGTCGAAGAGTTTTCAGCAACCTTGTGAGTAGTTTCCTTTATTAAAACAGACTTAGTCCATTAATAAGATACCATCAGATCCATTGCCATCCTGCTTGGAAGTTCTGACGCCAGACTAACCATGCATCGTCTCCCAAGAATTCAAAATGCACATTTTTTTCGAGTAGTGATATAATCTAGATAAAAATCAGTTTGTACAGGGACAATTCTGATGACGCAGTTTGTCGCACGTGATCCTCGTGAGATGACGTGAGATCCTCGTCATTTCACTGAAGCCGCTCCATCTTGGAGAGTGACGTGTGTCTGTCCATGATATGATTTAATCGAAGGCAACCATCTATTTCTGGAAAGATTCAACAGAATTCTAGCTAAATTTCGTTATGCTGTGACCGAAAATGAAACAGGGGACAGATTCTCTAGAATCCGTAAGGGAAAGAAGTGTGACCCCGTCGGAAACTGTATTTTTACCTTTAGGTATGGGAACACGGTAAAACTTACTACAACAGACCAACAGTTAGCCGTTGTCTGGTGTTTGGGGTGCTCATGATCTGGCAACCAACCGTAATTCAAAATTTTTTGCCAACATAATATTATTCATGCTGTTTGTTACTTTGATGACTTTTGGATAGCGTGTTATTTTATAAAGCCCTAGAAATAATTTGACAGCAATCACTTGTGGCGGACAATATGACGCTTTGGACAGCTTTCTTCCGAGCCACGGCTCTTACCCGAGTAAATGATCGAGACTCTACTGGTGTGCTGAAAGAAACATTGATATGCCTCAGTCCAGACGGATGTACTCATAAAACCCAATAACTTACACGAGACTTGCGGTGAGGAAGACGCTAAAATCAGTCACGCAGATTACCACAAAGTCTGTAGGACAATTTCCTGATAATCTAGGCTCAGGAAGGCGGATAACAAAACACTATCTAGATGACTGACCAGTAGTGCAACGAACTCGTATCTGTACAAATACTGCGCCACTCAATTGTTCAATCTCACATTACGTGACCACAGGTTGTCTCAAGCCGAAATCGATATTGATCTGTGAACTAAAGCAGACAGTCCCTTTTGAGGAGAGGCCACCGCAGTCAGAATAGCTAACTGGATGTTCTCCTCAGCCGAGATTCGATACAAAGTCACCCAAACAGATGTATCAGGGCACTTATGGTCTATCTTGGGGACCTCTGCTTCTGGAACAGATCAGTTTGATCAACTGTGGAAAGAACAGGTCGAGATTGCGCTTTCAGAACTTTTCGACAGCGCGAAAACGGGTTCATAATCCTTGAGCAACAGGTTTAGTCTGTGATCGGAAAAAGAACACCTTTTTCATTCTTTAGACTGTCCGATGCTTTCAGAGCTGTAGGTCTGAACGGACGGTACAGACATCTGAAAAAAAACTGGTGCGCACACCTGTGTTTCCTTCTTTTGACAGAAGTAGTTACATTCCAGTTGGGCAAAATTACGCGTTTTTTTACCACTCGCATGTTTCCGTGCTCCGAAGGGCGACTATGTTTTCACCTTTGTTCCATTTTTTCCAACAGATGTTTCGACGACTCGGCAGCCGTCGAATTTCGAACTCCGTGAAACCGAAATGGAGATTTCATGGAAGCTGAGTTGATCACTTAAAGTCCAAATCGATTGTTTTAGTTTCAAGGCTTTCAAACTATTCAGACAAACTCAGGGTTACCATTCACGATGAGTGTAGGCATGCTACTGAGTTGAACACTACTCAATGGCACTCTACTAGTCGCTTGAAGAATAAATGTATATTCGGTGGTTACGTTTCACAGAAAGCGTCCAGTGACCATCATCATTATGGAGATTCATTCGGTGCACACTAACAGGTCGCTCATTCAAAGACTGGTCGGAAATTTTTGAAGTTGGGATCGGTTCACAGATTTGGCATCATAACAATGATGTAGCCACGGCAATATGAGTTGCACTAATCAAGTTGTCTTCAAAGAAAGTGGAAATTTGGGGTGCGGACTTTGCAGTCACAAGGTCTCGAATCTAGAACCATTCAGAATCTGTAAGGTTTAGGAATGGTACTGTGCTCAAGTAACTTGACCACAACAAAAGGCAGAAATCTGGGATGAAAGTAATTTAATTCAACAGTACCCCCCAAAGGACCTTTGGATGACTTGTCTGCGCTAAACTCAACATGATCTGCAGTACCACACAGTACAACAAGTAACCCACGTTTATCGCAGGAAGTCTCTTCTTTTCAACCAAATATATCACTTATCCGGGTTTTTATAATGGGTATGTGAGTAAAAATACTGCGGTAGTTAGTCCAAATGCCATGAGGATCTTGAGAACCTCCACTTTCACCTTCTCATGAAGACAATGGGGCAAGGTGGCTCAGTTGTTAGAGCGCGAATTTACTGACCGGAAGGTCCGTGGTTCGAGCCCGACCTCTGCCTCTTGACTTCCTCCGTCTAGGTTTGGGCAACCTGGCCAGTATCCCACCCTCTTGCTTTCTTCGGGTGGCATGGCATTCTGGTACCGAAAGGGTGCTACAGGCGAGCGACATGGAGACAATGATTTCGAGTAGACGCACCTTGCCAAAGACAGCAACTTGATGGGAACGGACACCTAACTAACTCCCTAATTTCTCAACTTCTCACTGTTTGGAACAGTTTCAAACGTCACTTTAGGGAAATGTGTGCCAGTTCAGTATTATTCTGCCTTGGATCTCAAATGTTTTGCCGACATCTTTAAAATATCGACCACTCTCAGTTCTCCAGCATTCATGGACTTCCTATGACACTTAAACAACTTCAAAGAGTCAAATTTATCACCAGTGTGTAACCCTAATTTTTTTAGAATCCTTACACATTTCCGACTGTGAACCATTCTAGTACCATGTTTGTTCAAAGACGAATCAAACGTTCCGTCCACACTTGGACACAATGACATCAAACGAGGAACAGTATGTTTTGCTTTCAGTCACAATTTGAGACACAATGTACAAATCGTAGTACAGAGGCAACATCACAACGTCATCGAATTCTTCACACGAACAGCACTGAAGAAACGAAAGTCTGGGTATGCAAGCAAAGCAGTATGTGATTCGTTTGAACTAACGAACCGTTATATGTAACAAGGCTTTTACACATCCACTTCCGCTTCTATCACAGATCGACTTTAACGCTACAAGTATGTGTGAAAGAGAGAGGAAAACGTCATTCAACTTTGTTGCTATCCGACCAGCTGGAATGGGTGATGAAACGTTTGTAATCCAGTTGCAAAATTGGATGGACAGGTTGACATAAAGCGGAAAAGTATGAGATTGGTTTTTGATGAAGCAATAAGCGCTTCAAACGGGAAAGTTTAACTGACCACGAGGCACCAAGTGTGTAAAAGAAGAGACATGAGTCTCGTGGGACACGGACAGACAGCTGACTTAAGCGCGGTTTGGAAGGTCTTCAGGGGAATCGTACCTAGGGGCGGGCGAAAGCAGCTCTGATGTAGAGTTCTCGCTTTCAGTTCTACTCAGGTAGCTTCGAACAACATTGGCATTGCGGTAATCTAAAAAACACTGGTTTCGACTGGTCCCTCCCAGTTTTAGCCACTTTCATTTGACAGATTTCTTAAATAAACTTATATGTTCAGCTTTGCTTTGCCGATAAGTTTATACCAACATCTTTGATTTACAAGAACAGTGGTAACTCAAGCACCGTAGGTGGTTCTTGGTCCGTTCGCTAAACTAGCCAGCTTAATTGTGAACGTTTCAACCACGAATTATGGCTGCGTTATTTCAAACTGGACGTACGGTTGCTGTGCGCTGAGTAGTGGTGCGCTTGTACCAACATACATGCTACTAACTGGGAGGGGGTGACCTTTGATCGTGATTAGTTGTTTAGTCGGGTTATTATACTGATTGGTCTGGTATGTGTTATCCATCTCTTATGGAGATCAATAACAAAGGTTCCTGTGTTTTCATGACACTGATGTGCGTGAACTATAAGTAAACTGATCCCAAGTTTGAGTGCGCACATTGAGAGAAAACCACGATACGGCAAACTAAATCTGACAACTGCAACAAATTTTGTGTGGGACAAACTGATAGGAAACCGTGCGCACAATTGCATCGGACTACCTTCGTCATTGGCCTCCATAGACCACGAAAGACTCCACTTCACTCTACGGCTTTTGGAAAACTTAGCAGTTCAAGTTATGAGACAGGTAGCGGAATTTCCAGAAGGACGGTGCTTCGTGACGAATCCGTTGGGTGGCATTCAATCTACGCATCAGTATGTGCAAAAGATAAAATGCTAAACTTGTATAATCACACAGTTACAGAACAAGAAACAAGAACATCCTGGAATCATAGCAGCAGAGGTCACGGTTTGGAGCCCAGAGTGAATGATCGATCACCAAAACACTGACCAATGAATGGAACCGTTAGAGCCCAGACGTCACGTGATTATCGACCAATAGCAATACAGCGTAGCAGACGAACCAACACAATTGTTCGACCAAACAACGAAAGGTCAGGCCCGGCTCGCAGCGCACGTCTACAGGCGCAGCTCCGTTCAAAACAGCCGCTGAAGCGTGGCTGTGCCTCGTTTCGAAACGGCACTGGTGATGTCAAGGTCAACTGATGACGAGACGCTTGCAAATGAACTGTCCAGCTCAGTGAACGAACTAACTTCCAATTCTGTGTGTGCTTAGTAATGGACGAGAATTTAGGGACGAATGGGACGAGGTGTCAGATCTACACAATGCGCTTTGAGGCTCCAGCTAGTTTTGAAATCGATTAGTGACAAATTAGAATCAAAGCCGGATTTGTCCTGACTTACCCGTTCTAGATTTTAATCATTCGCCTGGTTCCTACTAGTGTGAAAAACGCGAACAGCCATTCACATCTACCGCATTCTTGCTGGGAATCATCAGCCGTGCACGAATGCACTAATATCCAAGTTGATTTGCACTGCGATTCTTGTGAAGTAGCGCGAATCTTGGCCGTACCTGGTGTTGACATATTGATGTTAGTGGTGACCGGTCAAGTGGTTTTATCAAAATTCACCAGATGGACAGGAAGGTTTCTGGAATGATATGAACGCTAATGCATAGTTGCTTCAGCTTCTTTGAAGTTAAAACATGCTCACAGGTCCATAAATTCCCAGTAAGTAGGGTATTCCGCGCGGGAAAGTCATGATGCAGTGTTTTCTTGACGTAGCGAGGGTGCAAGCTTGTCATAAAGCCTTTCGGCTGCTTGATCCACAAGTTGGCTGGAAAATAGGTGGTTAGAACAACTAGCTCGGGCTAAGTTAACGTTGGGCACGTATGCCTCCCAAAACATTAGCCCATCTTTCTCTCTGGACAGTGGATATTGTTACAAGCGCACGAATCCTACCTGGTCACAGATGCTAATCGACATGGATCTCACAATTGCCAAGCGTGTTTTTCTATCCGTGATCTGTTGACATCCGTGTCATTGTGGTGTACCGTTACTTCTCTCTATCGGCGTGTCAGATGGACTGTACATACAAACCGACCATTTATGCTCTGGTTTTCAGTCCATCTATGTCCGGTACGGTGCGTGTTCTGGTCAACAAGAACGAGCACGGGCAGATGAATCTGGATGAATCGGAGGAGTGCGCGAGGAGGACAAGAGAAAACACCTAGTTAAAGTCTGATGCATCACCAGCCATGGGATTGTCATTGCCTTCTGTTATTGTCTAGTCTCAAAATGACGCAGGAGAAGGAACAACTGCCTGACTAACTTCCTCGTTCAGCTCTAACACTTCCAGTGCTTAGGATTCCATGCCACCTGAAGGAAACACGAGGGCTGGAGCAGGAGCAGTTGAGATGCCATGGTTTGGTCCGAACCATGAACCATTCGCACCTTAATCACCGAGCTCTCTAGATCTTGACCAATATGACTGGATAAGTTTAGGCTGAAAGGAGGTCAGATACACTCATTTTCATATCGATTTAGTTTCCACGGGAGACTCACCTGAAGCCAAGTTGAATATCTTGTTTTTGACGTATTTCTACAACCAGATGTGTCGCCCCAAGGCGGCCTCATGTTTCACTTGGTTCGATAATCGAAACACCGCAATCCTTTGTTGTCTAGACGAGTCACACTACTCATAAGGTTGCTGAAAACTACTCGAGAGCCCACGACCGGTTTCACCCTTCTCGGGGCTCATCAGGTAGACGCAATCTTCGAGTTTCCGTTAACCTCATGTTCTACTTGAACCCAGATTGGACGAATTTTGACAAGTACTCTCATTCGTACATCAATTTGTCTTCACGGGAAATAACTGAATCTCTCAATGTGTTGCACAAAGGCCGCCTAATGTTTCAGTTGGTACGATATTCCAGTTATTGTAGTATATTTTCATAAAGTGAACTACTCTCAAGGTTGCCGAAGGCAGAATGTTGACGGAAGCTTTACGAGTGTGCCTACTCACCTACCTGAAAAGTCAGAAGTAGGAGGGCGAAGCTGGTTTCGGGTTGTCGAAGAGTTATCAGCACCTACAGGATGTAGTCCCGATTGCAACATCACCCGTCTTGAACTAAGTCATACATTGTAATAGGGATTCATACACCCTACAAAACTAAACAGTTCAGGACGCTTTTCGTCTGCATAGAGGCGCAGGTGGTTAACCTCGTGAACAGACAACGGAATCACGGTCCCGGTTAATCTCAGTTGGGACGAGAACCATAGACGAGTTGCTTTCTGTGGACTAATCACTACCGCTTCAAACTAGCGGAATTCCGATCCCACGCTTGAGTAGCTACCGGGTCCCTGGCGAGTATTTAAAAAAAACTACTCGTGGGACAGATCAATAAGAAAATAAAACTATTTGTTGTTGTTGAGCTGTGGATACAAACCGGCAGTCCGTGATGTAGGCCAATAGTTGTCCGCAATACGATCACCTGACGTCATCTGCGGAAACAGCAAAAAGCGACAGCCAGATTACCCGATGCGAAGCAGCCGCTCCACAGGACACCGTAGTTTGTTGTATGCTATTCTTTAGTCGACAGAGCGACCACCATATTTCTAAGCACCGAATGAAGGCATGGTCTGGTTGAGGGCTGTGCCAAGAACTCAGTGGGAAACATTCTATTGCACAGAAGAGCTGGCTACGAAAGAGTGTGAATGGTTAGTAACCATATTGGAGCTACGAAAATAGACAGTGACTACGGGTTACGCGGAGAAACGAAAACTTGACAGTTGAAAGGAAAAGGATTCGAAGAATGCCCACGATGCCCTATGAGCATGTCTCAGTGTTACGAATGCTGGACGCAAAAGACACGGGTCAAATTTGATTAGCTGAAGCTAGACCTCAAGCCTACGATTGAAGACGAGAAGGATGACACACTCGCCTTCCTGGAGATGTGTTCGAAACCGAATGGATCCGTAATCAGAAAAGTACGCCATAAACTCGACGTTGCGCAATTCCTACAACTTTAAGGTATTGTCCCAGAGGACTATTCATACATGCGGCTCGAATCCGTTCTTCTTCTGAAGATAACAGTAAGCGCTTCCAAACATGCATGGAAGGACGTGGAGAT